CTGATTCAGTGAACACCAGTGCCAGTGTATGTACTGATTCAGTGAACGCCAGTGTCAGTGTATGTACTGATTCAGTGAACACCAGTGTCAGTGTATGTACTGATGCAGTGAACGCCAGTGTGACTTTATCGGTGATCAGTATACTGAAACTGCACATCCCTAGGAATATACAAGACATACCCACATCGATACTTCGATGTAAAGATTCACATAAACAATTATGTCTAAATATATATCCATGAAAAATGAATTACAGACAGCATTCAACAAAAACTATCCAAACGCAACCGTATACATAAAGGGTGTCGAACAAGTTTGAATCCCTTCTAAGTAATATTCTTTTCTTACGTTTTTTCTGTAAAATAGGCTGATATTTACAACATATATACTTGACATCTGGATGTACTGTGCGTTAAAATTCGAACTTTCTACTTCTTATAGTTATAGAGATACACATAATACAAAAATTAAAATGAATTATTCAAAATCATTTGTGGGAATTTTTTTCTGCTGCTTTATAGCAATGTTAAATAAAAGCCAACAGATGGAACGAGGTTTACAACTCGAAATTCTAAACGTAACGCTCAGACAACATATGTCGGTGTTTATATACCTAACTCTTCATCTTAATCTATTACTTGTTTCAACCGACACGGTAAATTTCCTATCCTTTGCTCACATTTTGCTGTCGTAAGCAGTTTCCATTTTTGCACTACTCGATTTTCTAATTCTGATTCATTTTCAAGTCTTTCTTTTCTCAATCTATTCTTTGGCTGCATCTCAAACTGTTTCTTTTAGCCTAATATCAGCAAATTTTGCATCACCAACTATCGAGTTAATACGCTCGCTAAACAACGATTCAATAGTATTCATCACCATGATTGTTCGATGTTTGCCATTGTGATAATCTTGAAAAATCAGTAACAAGTTAGCATTTATAAAAAAAAATGACAAATGATACAACATATTAGTGATATGCAGATTACTAAAAGTTACTCTTTATGAACGATCCATTGAATAATCACAATTTGTTCATTCATAATATTTGCAAAAATAATGTAAAAAATTCGTATGAATTTTATTCATTTCAAAATAGAAGAAGAGTGAGTATTTTTGGAATAATTTTCGAGAGAAACACCATAAAGATCAGTGTTTTTCATCGTTTAACAGGTGCGATGAAACTGTATCGAATCGTTCATATCAGATTATTCTGACAAGTTTTCTTAGGATTGACCATGAAATTCATTAAAAACAACACATTGTATAATGAAAAAGTTTGAGAAATTTAATTTTCAAGAGTGCACGATAGAATCATTAACTAAAAAATCTATAAATTATACAGGTCCAATGTTGTAAAGTTTAACCAATCATGAGTTACAAACATTTGACTATATGATAGCGGCAGATTGTTCACAAAAAATTGACCTTTTTCCTGATTTTTTTGACCAAAACTCTACCTCATAAACCTAGTTAAAAGCTTCAACTTTTTAAAAAACTTGGCGTGAGACCCCGAGAAAACTTGTCAGCGAAATTTGGTATGCACATTGTAATGCAGTTTCATCTCTTTTTCTAAATGATGAAAACTGGAGATCTTTATCTTTTTCTTATCATAAATTATGCAGAAAATCCTCATCCTTCTTTTAGTTAGAAATCGATCATAGTATATACGACGCTGCAAATATCAGTTTATTCTGCTGAAAAAAACATATAAGAAAAGAAAATTAGTTGAAAGGGATCAAAACTTTTTAGACAATTTTTATTCATTGATTGATACATTGACATATTAGCCATGACGAATGAAAAACAAAAAAGTGAAAATGGAGAGAACAGATCAAAATAACATTGAGCGATATGATATCTCGGTGTTTCAAAGCACCATTTCACTGTCTTCGCTCGATTCGAATGACTAATTCAACAGTGAACACTTAGAATTCTTATTTATATATAATTATAATGGCTATCGCACATCATTTGCCTACATTCCATAAAAACTTGAAAGCAGTGACACTTGATTCAACTTAGTCTATTACGGTCATTGTCTGATTAAGTGTCGCCGATATTGGAGAGTTGTTCGAAGTACGTCTGTTGCATGCTTGAAAAACTCGACATGTGTACCACATGCGAGCTGAAATGTATCGTGGGATCAGTAAAGACTATACTGATCAGTGTAATGTTGATGATGTTTTGATAAAACAACGACAAAAATCTGCTTGTAAGAAATTTCTTTCAATGGTGGTAAGACGTTTATCATTTGATAATATTGACAGCAGTAGAGGCGTACCTTAATCGCTGTTTTGTTTTTTTTCTTTCTTCGCATCGGTGGCTGTAACTGATCATTCACGATCATGCTCTGTTCTCTAACCTCAATATATGTGTCTGCCTCCTTTAGTTGTTGCTCTTACTTTTAGTCTTCATATAATCTTAACAAGCAAGCAAACAGACATGATATTTGTTAGCTCGACATGTCTTCTTGTGTTCTGTATAATAACTTATTTCTATTGCAAATGGCGCAATTCCATGATGTCAACTGCTATTCCTGATCTTCGACCAGAATTTATTATCGGCAACATTCGTAATTCCGACCTATTTTCTCGCCGCAAAAGATTCCATGAAGTTTTTGCAGAATTCAAACCAATCTATGGCGACATTTTCACTTCGCATTGCATTTATAAAACGTCCGATATTCCTATTTCCACTTTCAGTTTGATAATATCTAATTCATTGTTTGTATTACGTGATCAGGCATGGACACGACATGCATGTGTACTTTTACCTATGTTGAAGCGTGCTAAACTTTTACAATATGCAGATACTATTGTGAACAGTACTGATTAGTTAATAGACATTCATCTCATCACGGACGAAGGTGATCGAAAAAATATCATTTCAAAATGTCAAGCGCTATTGTTGAATATTACTGATTCCATTGCATTCGATTAAGATCTAGATGAAAATAACAAAAAAAATTAGTCAAGGACAACAAGCAATGTCGCTAGCATTGAAAGTAAGATTTTCAGTGCAAACCTATCTATATGAATACATTTCATGGCTCAGATATCAGATCTCGTATCGTATTTCATTTTCGAAAAAAATTTACTTCCATTTAGTAGAAAAGAATCGAAAAGCAACATTTTGAAAGGAATACTCTCGAAAACACATCTTCAATTATGAAATCTCAAAACTTTTACATATAGTTATTATTGTTTAGTATATATGTTTAATCTTTTCTTCTACTTTTATTTGTTCGATAATGATCCAATAACTTGTTGATTACCCGAATGCCATCTAAGACTTTCAGATCAAAACACGGGAAATCATGTGATATCATTTTTGACGCTGAACGAATCATCTTTAGGATCAAATTAACACCTATAAAAGATCTTGTTCGACTAACTTATCAAGATACGTCGGTATAAAAGATATGATCTCGACATGTCGTGATTACATGGAAAAATTGAGAGCAGCCTTTCAGCGTAGCAAAAACTTGTCGAACTGCGTCGAGCTCTATGAAAGAAATTGTAACTTAGTGTTGCATAATGAGACGTTTGTTTCAGTGAAATTGAGTTGATGTAACAAAGAATAACTAATTTCTAAATATATAGGAAAGATTTATTCACAATGAAAGAGTTGCATTTATCCTTTGATAATTTTTATCAATAGCGACTCAGTTTGTGTAGTATTATATCAGTGGGATTTGTATTATTGTAGGACTATGTTCGCTTCAGTGCACAGCTGTTAATGCTTACTGGAATTTCTAAGTGATTTGGCAAGCTCTACTTGTTCTTAAATTGGAAATACCGAAATGCTGCCCATCTCCTTCGTCAGCACTGCCTTGTCATTGTAATCGAAGAACAAAAATGCGCACAACAAATGTCATGTTGGCATTCAAAACGAAAACATTTTATTGCATTTTTGGTTTCATCACTAAACAATGAAGCAAATGACAATGATATCTCCTCTGGACTAACGCTACCAGAATTATTTGATGAAATTAAAAGTCTTATCCTTACTGGCTTTGATACAACATCTACTGCTCTGTCTTGGTTTATTCATTATGCGTCGAAACATCCTGAAGTTCAACAACGAATTAAAGATGAACTTCGAGAACATAATCTCATTCCAATGACCAGTAGTGTTGCGCTTACAGCAGATATTCTCACTAAACTCACCTATATGGATTGTGTGATTAAAGAAGTATTGAGATGTGCACCCATTGCTTTCAATGTCTTACGCATTGCTCTCTGTGATGATCTGATCGATGGAACAATTCATGTGCGAAAAGGTGACACTATTTTTATGTCAATACACAATATTCATTCAGATCCTCGATATTGGCGTATTGATGCATCACGATTTGTTCCTGAACGATTTTTACATGAAGACAAAGATCATCATTCATATGCATTTTTACCCTTCGATGGAGATTATCGCGCATGTGCTGGAAAGGGGTGGACACTCATTTCGTCCCCTTACACTACGTCCCATTCATTTCGTCCCTCACTCATTTTGTCCCTTTTCATTTCGTCCCAAATTCATTTTGTCCCAGTGTCATTTCGTCCCATACACTTGGTCCCAACCTCATTTTGTCCAGTTACACTTTGTCCTACCGGACAAGTCGTTTCTGACGATTCTACTTAATATACAATGTTATGTACTATGATCTTCTACGTATAATATATTAACTAAAATGAAGAATGAATAACAGTTCAAGAATTTAGTTTCACATTAGCAGCCACACCGGGCCAGATCTTGAGGGTGAGGGTCACAGCTTTCGCATCGAAAAATACGTTTTTCATCAGTCAATCGGTGTTGCATGTACACGAACTCACCATGATATACAATCGGATTTTCTCTTTTACTCTTCAAAATTTCAATATCACCCATCGGTCATATAGATAGCAACACTTGATTAAATTAGCAGTTACCGGGATTTTTTTTTCGGATTTTTTAATAAATCTATATACGTTTTTAAATAAATCCCGCACTATCTTGAGGGTGAGGGCAAAGGCACTGGTGAGGGTGAGGGTGAGGGTGAGGGCGCAGACGCAAGTGTGGGTGAGAGCGAAGGGGTCAGCAGTCGAGTGAGGGTGCACGAACATCTTGATACAGATAATAAAACCCAATAAATCCCCATTAAATAAATAAATCCTAATAAATCCTATAGAAGAAATAAATCCCAAAAAAATATGTCCTGGTAGCCCCTCGATTAAATAGCAAAGAAGAACAGCTTTACGTGGTGAACAAGATTTGAGTGTAAATTTTTTTCTTTTCTGTTTCTCTTTCGTTAAAGTTAGCTAATCATATCAAAAAAGTAGGGACAAAGTGTAACGGGACAAAATGAGTTTGGGACCAAGTGTATGGGACGAAATGACACTGGGACAAAATGAATTTGGGATGAAATGAAAAGGGACAAAATGAGTGAGGGACGAAATGAATGGGACGTAGTGTAAGGGGACGAAAAGTAATGGGACGAAATGATAGGGTTCCCTGGAAAGGAACTAGCTTGGTTTGAACTTAAGACTATAATTGCACGATTGACGCAACAAGTAACATTTGAAGACACGAGCTTGAAAGACAATTCAGGTGGATATGATCAACAACTTGTTTGTTACTCAAAGCATGTCGCCGTCAACGTTCGTACAGATGAAGAGTAACCAAAGTTTTCTACAGCTAAAAAGGTTGTTTATTGTATAGCTTTGCTTTGAATAGTCGTTCTCTTATTTTAGAGAAAACTTTTTTTAATCTAATGTAATAAACTAGAAAAGCGTTAAATTCATATAGCTCTATTCATGCATCTGCCTTGTTTCGATTTAGCTTACTATGATAGAACGAATGAAAAATTAATCAACAACTTATTGATGAAAATATTTGGTTCTAACTATTTGTGATCAAGTTCCACATTTTATAGCTGTGGCGATAAGCACTCATTTGGAGACTCCAAACTGTAGGATCAAATTTTGAAAAACAATGCTTCATGATTGAACGTTTTCTAATCATCACATTTTCTTTCGTATAAAATGTTGGAAAGAAGTTTAAGAACAACATCGTTTCTTTTGATTCTGTTTGAGAACACGAAGAAATGAAGTTCTAACGATTGATATAGCTAGTTAGAATGCATATACACCTAGAGCATATAGAAAGACTCCGTAAATTTTAGTCTCTGTGGAAGGATAATGTTTTATTGTTTCTTCAGCGGAAAAAGTTTAAGAATAAAATAAGTACAGTCACGTTTATCATATTTTTCTTTAACATAACAAACAACCATTCTTTTTTCTAATACGTCATCTAAATGAACAAAATGTGCTTGATGTAATACATTAATATACTTTGAACAACCTTCATCTTAAAATACCTTAATATTTGCAATTTCAAACCTGTAAGGTTGCCTATATGATTTTCATAAAAAACTTTGATATTTCGTAGTTTTATAGCACAAACTTAAATTAAAGTTCTTTTCCATTGGCTTTAATAAATTTTTCATTAGCAGTGAACATCAGTTGGTTTCACTATTTGGACCATTTTTTGTATATCTGCGACAAAGTGGGCTCGTTCTTAGCTTAAAATTGCTCTTCTTGTTAGATTATATGCAAGTTTTTATGATATTGATTAGACCAGTCTTCGATTCACGTGTTTGATAGTCTTAAAGCTCATCATTTTGTAGACAATTTTGGGCTCTATCAGGCTCCATGACAACGGTTGATCTTAATGATGTTTTTGTTAAACTAAATACAATTCTATTCTCAACTTCTTCTCATATGAAATACAAATATTTGAATAAGATGTTGAATCAATGTTGTACGATCATTTTGCATACGACGAAGATTTTTATAGAGTTTCATTTATTTTAATTGAAGACGTAAATCAAAACTATTTTCATGACCGAATTCAAACAATGATATCCAATATTGTATTAAGTTCATGTAAACAAGATCTTCCTAAAACAAAAAAATCAATTGTCATCAGAATTCTTCAAATTAAAATGAATGCATTGAAGGATATAGCGAGGCATGATCTTTCATAAATGAAATAGTCTTTTAATTGGCATCTCCTTTTTTTGTGAAAATTTTTGATGATTTTCATCAACTTCTACTTGCAAAATATACTGTTTTCAGAAAAAGTAAGAAATATTTTTCGTTTGTTCTGTTTATTATAGTCAACTGCTTTTTGTTTTGTTTGATAGAGCATGTCAAGATGCAGGAGACGATAGAGTCCCTAAGCCGTGTTACTATTATACAAATAAGTACCTTCTTTTTATAATTGAAACGTCATCTCCATAAGAGTTTATTAAGGTACTGAACTTTTCCTCCATTTTCTCTCCTTGAAAGAGAAAAAAAATTAAAAAGAGCTCTCTCATGACTTGTATCCTGACAAGCTTTTTCAAACAAAACAAGAAATTAATTATATAAAATGAAAACCCAAAAAAAAAAAATTTGCATTAACAAATGAGTTATTTTTAACTTTTGTTTGTTAAATATGTTTTGACAATTTCATGGTCGGTGACTGAAAATGTCATGCAATTTCAATGTACTTAAGCCAAGATCAAGTTTTTAGGGCGGAGAGAGCCATAAATAAATATAATTTTTTTTCTAAAACTTGATTGTATCTTTAAGAAACAGATCTTCCGAGTTATTTTTCTTGTTCAATGATATTTAGTCACTGAATACGATACTAGAAAAACAAATCGTATTCTATAATTGGTACCACTTTTTTCGTTCATTTGCTGTCGCACGAATAGAGAAGCATTCGTATTATCTATTTGACTGATAGTGTTAAAAATGATTGCTCGTTCTGATCTGATGAATAATTTTTACTCTGTTTTTATTACTCATTCGTTGAGCACTATTATGCTTATTATTAGAGAAAAAATACATAGCAACCAAGTCATTTAAATTAAAGAATTCACTAATATCAGTGCATAAAATTTCGATATTTTTGTCCATTTTCAAAGAAGATTTTATATTTTGAGCAACTTGTCGTTGGGCGCTGACACATAGCAGATTCTACGAAAAACAATACGTAGAAAATAATTATTTTCGCAAGCATTGCATCATCTTTTGAAACCTATTTGATGTAATATAGCAATTTATTTTCATGATCTATCACTTGCTATTTCAATATCACATAACTAGACAATTTCGACTGATTTTGCTTTTGTAATATCTTGCTTATTTGCATATGATTGATTATTACAAGAATTATGAGAGATCGATTGACGTTAACAGTTGTAAAAATTAATATGGCCATATTTACTATATGTTCTCTACAAGGATGAATATTGTTATCTTAAAAATTCTATTAGTCGATCTGACATCCAATAGAATGTGTCTTTCATCGCCGGCTAAGTGTCTTGTTCAGCTAGCTACTTATTGTGGTGCCGTTTACTTGACATATCGAATTATTGACATCGATTGTTGATATTTTGTGAAATCAATATATTTTAGATTTCTATGGCGAACGTTTCTACTGATATCAAGATCAACGTTGATTACATAAGTGCTGCATGTAACTGTTGCCCACATTCGCTAGATTGGCAGAATGGTCCACGACTTATTTATGGTGTTACAAACAGTGTAGCTCTGTGTTCTGATGTATGATAGAAATATGTTACTGTAAATTCTATTTTTTTTTCACCATAGATTGCTCCATTTTCTGTACGTAAAACATTTTCCGGTCATCAAGGACGATTAAACTGTGTGAAATGGGTTAGACAAGAACAACGAAGTTTGTTTTGTTGACAGCAAAGAAATATATTTTTTAACAATTCTCTTGATTTTATTTCTATAGATGCAAATAGTGAGTTCCATTATTTTCTCAGTGCATCTGTTGATAAAACAATCGGTTTATGGAAAGGAAAAGATGAAGATGTATGTTATATAATTTGTCTAGATACAAAAACAAAAAAGATTCATTAATTTTTTTTCTAAAATAGTATACAAAGTATACTTCACTTGTTGGACATCAGAATAGTGTGACAACTGTGGTTGGTTATCAACAATCTCCTAATGATGATATCTATGTAGCTAGTGGTTCTGCAGATTCCACAGTAAAAATCTGGTGTATCAGTGATACGTTAGGTATGTAACTATAGATCTATGAATCTTTTCTATTAGTTCTTAACTATTTTATTTTCTTCTAGCTACTTGTATTCATACAATTGATTTTATGAATGGTTTTGCTATTACATTGGAATTAGTTCCATTAGATAATCATAAAAATAGTAAGTTTTTCTTAATTCAAAGAATATTTGATCGAAAACTATTTGTTTGACTTTAGTATTCTTATTATTTGTTGCAACGGATAAAAATAAAGTTCAAATCTATCAAGTATCAAACAGCGTGGTTAGTGAGTTAAAGTAAATACTTTTGAAAAAATATCTTGTAAACTTTATTGTATTTATTTATACAGATTGAACAAATTTTTGTATTGACTGGACATGAAGATTGGATACGTTCAATAACAATTCAAAAATTAAGTACGAAGAAACATTTTTCTTTATGCTATTTATTAGTATTTTAATGAATTAAATTTTTTTTAAGCATCATCTCAATGGTTTGTTGCAACTTGTTCTCAAGATAATTATATTCGTATTTGGCAATTATCATTTGATGAAAGTAATAATCAAACAAATGTTGATTCAACAATATTAAAATTAAAACGAAGTTCATTTGCTGTAAAAGTTTCTGGTATAAAAAAAATGAATTTCTGAAGAAATAATCATTAGTCTTTTTTTTTCCTATCTAGATGAATCTCCAATTAATGTTAATGTTGAACTTTATTCAATTTTATTAGGACATGAAGAAGCCATTTATGGTCTTTGTTGGTATCCAAATACAGGTAAATTATTTTAGTTAAATTATTCATTATGACATTATTCTTAACCTTGAAGATTTAAAAAAAGCAGCAACAACAATTCTATCAGCATCAATGGATAAATCAATGGTTTTATGGACTTTTGATGACAATCAAAAAATGTATATCGATAAAGTAAAATCATTTTGTTTCGTTTCCTTGTTACATATAACAACTCTTTTCTATTCTAATGGTTCTATTAGGCTCGTGTGGGTGAAATTGGTGGTAATACACTTGGTTTTTATGGATGTACATTTAGTTCATGTGGTTCATATATACTTGGTCATGGTTATGAAGGTGCTTTACATTTATGGAAAATTGAAGAAGTAGAATTCATGATTTAATTTTAATGTGAATTAGAAGTTTTCTTTTCTTTTTTGTAGATTGATGATCGAATTAATTTAATTCCACAAGTAATTAATAGTGGACATTTTAATACAGTTGAAGATTGTTGTTGGGATAAACATAGTGGTCGTTATTTATTAAGTGTATCAACAGATCAAACAACACGTTTACATGCTGAATGGAAACGAAATGAAGTAAATAAAATTTTTTTCTTGTGTTATTTAAAAATTTTCTTTTCTATATTTCAAGATAATTTCATGGCATGAAATTGGTCGACCACAAATTCATGGTTATGAAATGAAATGTTTAACTTTTATTGGTTCAAATCATCAACGTTTTGTATCTGGTGCTGATGAAAAAATTTTACGTGTATTTGATCCACCGAAAAATTTTCTTGAAAATTTTGCTCGTATAACAAAAATTAATGTTGACGAAGATATTCAAGTAAAATTTTCTATTTTTAATTAATATATCTTTTTTTTGTTTGTCGTTTTCTTTAGAAAGCACAATCTTTGCCTGAGGGTGCTAATGTACCAGCATTAGGTTTATCAAATAAAGCAATTTTTGATAATGATGAAGATCAAACAACAACAACAACAACAACAGTAATGGATGATAATCCAATGACTGTTGATGGATTATATAAAGAAGGATTTTTTAAAGCAATTGTTTTGAATGGTAAGTTATAGAAAAGAAAAAAAAAGAAAAGTTTTCATTGATCAGAATAACACATTCGTTTTATTGAAGAACCACCATTTGAAGAACATCTATTACAAAATACACTTTGGCCTGAAATTCAAAAACTTTATGGACATGGTTATGAAATCATTGCTGTTGCATCAAATCCCTCTGGTTCAATCATTGCTTCATCGTGTAAAGTAGGTCATTCAATAAGCTATCAACAATCACTTCAAAAACATACGATGAAAATTTTTGTACACATACTCCAGCAAAAATATCATTTCGATTACTTAAATAGAAAGAGAATTGTAATGAATGGTATCTATTTTTTTCTTTGAATTCTATAGCCTCTCAATAGAGTGCTTGTTGAAATTCTCGCTGTTTCTTGTCAAGTATACAATTAATTGTTGATATTTTCACTTGGAATTAAGATTAAGTCTATGATCTTTCTGTGCCCCAAAATACGAGTTACTATGTTCGAGTATTGACGTTCCTAAAATTTTGGCGCCGACAAGACTCATTTCTGAAACTTGTAAGCAATAATTTTCAGTTGTAGAGAAAACTTCCTTGAAAGTTTGATTTCGATACAGCAAACTATTACCGAATTATTTATCTATAAAAGGCAATAGATGATATTATTCCACATTAATGATTACAGTAAAATAGCCATAGCTCTCGAAAAACTTGATAAATTCAGATAAAATTAATAATGCAAATAACTGAAACAAAGCGTTAAAATAATAAGACTGTTTCTTTCGAGCCTTATGAAAATGAAAGCAAAATGACGGTGTCCATGTGTCATTATGCTCATTGAATTTAAGCCATTGGAATGAGATTTTGTCGCTGATCTATATTCTTGGTAAAGTATGTTTACACAAGTTTTCAGATCTTCAACATCTTTAATGGTTGAAATCTGAGGAGGCGGAGATCTTCATTCACCATTATAGATAAATGTAATAATCAGAATATCATAAAAAAAACGGATTAGTTTTTAATGAAATAAATTTGCATACCGTATATTAATCTTATTGGCACTATAAAAGATTTTTTCATATTGAGATAGAAAAGCCGTAATTAGTATGTCAATATCTATTAGTGAAGTCGTGCGTTTAAAAAACAAAATGAAACGTAGTTATATGTATATATATATATATATAGAACTATGATGAACATTTTTTTTTTTCATTATTTATTAAGAACGTCATTGAAAAATTCAAGAGTGATCAATAAAAAGAATGATTCTCTAGTTATAGAGTGGTTGCCATCTGTCTTCTGCGTATGGTTGATCCTCTGAGATTATAAAACTTATATATCTTTTAGTTGATTGTCAAGCCATTTTAGATATTATTTTTATCAGAAAGAAAAGAATTAATTAAGTCTATTGATCAATGTTAGAATATTTTTATTTTCATTTTTAATAACATTGTCTCGTTTTAGGCAAGTCAACAAAATGATGCAGCAATTATATTATGGAATACAAATACTTGGAAACCTATTATTCGTCTTGCTATACATCAATTAACAGTTGTTCGAATGACTTTTTCAAATAATGGTCAATATTTATTATCTGTATCACGTGATCGATCTTGGTCATTATTTGAAATAGATGAAACAAGTATGTTGTATTCTAGATTTTTTTTGTTTGTTTGATTTTATATTGACTTTTCTGAATTAGATTTTCAAGCTCGTTTATATAAACGAATATCTAGTAATAATCCATATCATAAACGTATAATATGGACATGTAGTTTCTCACATGATGATAAATATTTTATAACGGGTGCACGCGATCAAATTATACATGTATGGCATGTTAATGAAAAAAGTCATGATGATAATGAACAACCTTGTGAAAAAAATTATTTAAAATTAAACGATTCTGTTACTGCTGTTACATTTGCATCTCGATTGATCGAGAATGAAAAGTTTGTAAAACTAATTTGAATTATGTTTTGTCTATTTTAAATGAACTTTTTTTTTTTTTTTTGTTTGATAAATTTAGATATTTTGTTGTAGCAGGACTTGATAATGGTACTGTTTTATTTTATACATGGAATGAACAAATATCTTGGCAACATTTAACATCAATCACACCACCGTAAGAAAAAATTTAATATTAAAAACAAAAAAAAATGATTTCTTTTTGTAAGAACATAAAAATCAATTCTACTTGTTATTTATTAAATTTAAAAAAAAATCAAAAATAGAATCATGTTTATTCTAAAAGAATTGTTTAAATACCTTGATATATTCATTATACTTCTTACTATGAAATAATTTACTCGATTGTAGTTTGTTGTTATAAAAGAAAAGCTGAATAGTTATTCATTTGGGAATATCTTAGTCAATGAAGAAAAAATATGATCATAACTAATAGTTATTTCTTTTTTAGAAATTCTCTAGCGTTATTTTCTTCATTACACCGATGATAGAATTGTTTCTGATAAAACTAAAAATATTCTAATCATGGAATATTCTTTTTTCTTTTGTTTGTTAAGGTAAAAATATTTGTGATTATTTTAAGAAGAAACTTTTAAAATATATGTATGTTCCTTAGATTGATTTTACTCGATATAATATATTAGAAAAGAAAAAAAAGTCTTTATGATTCATCAGAAATCGAAGAAAGTCTATTATGTATTGAAATCTTTTTTTCGAATTAAACCAATTTATTGACGCTAGATAAAAATAATAAAATTTATTGTTAATGCATTCATTTTTTCAAATGTTGAATTTTCTCATGGGAATTTTCAAATAGTTTGATGAAGAAAAAATCGATGTACTGCACTTATTTCTACGACGAAAAAAAACATGTTAATTATATATTTCTCGAGAAAAAAACAAAGCTTTCAAAAAATCATTGTTTCTATATAAACGGGAAAAGAAAAATAAATCAATCTTTCTGCAAATATTTCTTCCAATCATGCAATTTTTCTTATAGATGTTATCCATTAATAAGAACTGAAAAGATTACCTAAACTTTCTTATGAGATTCATCTGTTTTCTAGAAAATCACTTGAAACTTGTCATTATTCATTAACATATTTATAATTCAAAGAATAAAAGAAATCGATAATTCGATAGAATGTTAATAACATTTGAATTTTTTTTTTTTTATTATTTCTTTAAGGCTCGGTTTTCATTTAACTGTGAATCAATTATGTTTTCGTCCATCATTATTATTATCATCATCATCGTATCAATTAGCTGGTTGTTCGAATGATGGCACTGTTCGTATTTTCAACATTTCATTATCGTGATGTCTATTCTGTTGTTGTTTTTTTTTAATAAAAGAAAAATGAAGATTGATCGGATTTATGTTTATGAAAAAAACAGTAATTAACATTTTTGTTTTTTTCTATATTTCAGATATGATTCATTGTTTATTTAACAGTATTATGTTTCGTCGTAGTTTTTCTATAAATCAATGTGTTGTCAATAACTTAGAACATCAGATTATTTTTTCAAAACAAATCAGTGGTAAATTACCTAATTAATATGCTATATAGATTAGTTATGTCAAATAGAATTGATCTTGTTCTTTTTTCTTTTTTAACTAAAGAAGCTTTTCTGTCATCTATTGTGTGATTTAAACTCAAGAGAAACAACCCTAAAGGAAAAAAATAGGAAGAAAAGAAGGTAGTAATTGCATCCTCTGATTCGTTCTTTGTGTTTCTATATAGTTCTCTTCTACATAGATATATAAATATATAGTTGTTTCTCCCTCTCAGTCGTCTTGTTCTTGTTCTCTTTCTTCAACTTTTTTTTTTTTCTTATCTTACATGAAAAAATAGCTAAGTATTACTGTTGTCCTTGAGATATAGGGTAAAATCTACACACATATGTCGATACAATGATTGTTAAACGATGTGAAAAGTAGTATGCATGACAAAATTGATTTACTCGACATAGTAACATCCGAATGTTTAACAATAGATAGAAGCATAAATAAAAAAAAAAAAAAGAAAGAAAAATTCAATGAAAGCTCATGTATACAACATACGTCGTAGAAGAACTTCTTTTTTTTTGCATTTTCTCTCGCGTTTTTCTTGTGTGTCGATCGATCATTCTAGCTCACTCAACTACTTGACTTTCGATAGCAAAGGACCAGAGAGAGAATACGAAAGGGAGAGAGAGAGAGAGAGAGAAAATGAGTGAGAAAGAAATGCAAGTTTTTGTCACACTTATCTGATAAACAAAAATGGAAAAGCAAAAAAAAAAGACAGAGGAGAAAAAAAGGAAAAAAAGAATGACATGGTCGTTAGTTATATTAGGCTTCAGAATCTGACTATGCTTTTTCTTATCTATTTTAGGCTCATTTGAACCGAGCTAGATGTTTGAATGGCGGATGGCAATAGCCACCCATTTAATAATGATGTTATTGCTGACGATACGATAGCTCAATTACGAAAACAACTATCTCATCAACAACAACAACATCAACATAATTCCAAACATAAAGATCTTATTGATCTTCTTTCCTCAAATCATACAAGTAATCATTTTTTAAATTCAATTGATCCATCTATTAATATATCATCGCAAGCTATAACCGACGATGATTTTAATCGTCTTAAATCAATAATACGTTCAACAATATGGCCAATTGATCATCTTATTCGTCGACAATTATGGATGAATATATTAACATTAAATCGAGTTAGTACTTCAAAACAACATCGAATTACTCATCATACATCACAAACACCTTTATCAACATCAACAATAACAATTGATAGTAGTTTACATTCATTAACATCAAAATTAAGTCAATGGCCAAATTTTGTTGATATAACTAATTTATGTTTTTATCATTTAACGGAATCAAGAGGATGTTTATTATTACAACATATTTTATTTACATTTGCTTTACATCATCCAGATTTAACTTATTGTCCAGCATTAGAACCTTTATCTGCTTTACTTTTACATTATTTTAATGAACATGAAGTATTATATTTAATTAATCGTTTATTAATTAAACATTGGTTATGTGGTGAAACACGTTTACAATGGGAAGCTAATTGTAATGTATTTAAAAAATTATTAAAAATATACTATGTAAGTTAGATATTAAAATAAAAAATAAAAACATAATTAAATTTATTATTCTCATAGAAATCAACAGCCGATGTTATTGAATTACGTTATACAAATACGAAAGTATTTTATCAAGAATGGTTTTGGTGGATATTTCGTTATCTACCATTTGCTTATCTTGTATGAAAAATCTATTTATTTTTTAAATTTTTTCACTGAATTTATTATTTTAAATTTAGGTAAAAATCATGGATTGTTTCTTGCTTGAAGGTCCAAAAATTTTATATCGTATTGGTTTAGCACTTGTTCATCTGTTTATTAAAAGTATGTTATAGAATTAATTGTTGAGAAAAAAAAAAAAAAAGAAAACAAAAATCATTAGTTGTTTTTTTTTCTTACTATGTCATGTCATTTTATAGAACCTCATTCGTACAATTGTTTGTGTAAATATTCACACTTGTTTCCTATATTTGCACTTCCTGAAAATATGCTTATTTTATTTATATATTTATTTATTGTTTTAAACAATTTTCTACAGTCTACAGTCTACTCAACAATAATGTATTGAAATAACATATTTAATACTAACATTTATGCATTTTAGTAAATGCATGAGTACTAACGATATTATTTTATTTAATGCTTTGAAAAAGGGGAAATGAAGGATTTTAGAGGGATATTATTTTATTTTAAGATTTTTTGCTGTTGCTTTCATAAATTGATTATTGTATATAAAACTTTTATTTTTATTATTGTCTAGCTGTTAAACACGAATCGAATGGAAAAATACAAAATATGGCAGATTTTTGCCAACAAATTCCAGTATCTATTGAACATCTTTTAAATGTAAGTTAATTTGAAGAAAATAATGACTACGATAAATGAAATATGAGAATATCCTGAAATATTTCAATAACGGAAAGGTAGTCATTTTCTTTACTAATATAGAAAATGTATCTTCTTATTGTAATTTATAAAGACAAAATTTTAATATAATGTTGTTAACTTTTAAAGACTATCACTTGTATATATCTGATAATATCTCTTTATCAATCATATCTATCTATATTGAGTCTAACGAGGGAAGGTCCCCAGGTGCCACGCTCCGTTTTGAATCGGACATATGCCATTTTGTAGAGCTCAGTGAGACTAGCAAAAGCTTAAAAGGGTTCTTCCCCATGGGCCTTGAGAGTCGAGTTATGCCCTTTCTACTGAATTTTTGACCATTTTTTCGATATTGAGAAGTAAATCAAACAACGGAGTTTTGATCTGAAATTTTGCCCATAGATAGGTCTAATCGTCTTTAGAATATCTTGAAAATTTCAGCTGAAAAGAATGTTCCTTTATCGAGATATTGGATATTCAAGTAGGTTGGCTTTTTGCGCCTTGTCTGTAAAAGCGATGATTTTTTAATAATTCAATATCTCGACAAAGGAACATTCTTTTCAGCTGAAATTTTCAAGATATTCTAAAGACGATTAGACCTATCTATAGGCAAAATTTCAGATCAAAACTCCGTTGTTTGATTTACTGTTCAATATTGAAAAAATGGTCAAAAATTCAGTAGAGAGGGCATAACTCGACTCCCAAGGCCCATGGGGAAGAACCCTTTTAAGCTTTTGCTAGTCTCACTGAGCTCTACAAAATGGCATATGTCCGATTCAAAACGGAGCGTGGCACCTGGGGACCTTCCCTCGTAAGAATGATCTTTTTTTTTTTGAACTACGATTGTAATCAAATGAAAATAAATCCAGAAATTTATTAAAGAGATAAGTTATTTTGAGTATGTTAGAAAAACTAATAAAAAAAAAAAAGAATTTTAATTTGAAATCATGAAACTAATGTGATAATTAATAGTATTTGAAGATTATTCATTGAGAAAATATTTTTTGTTTTGTTTTTTAGGTTGCATTCCATATTCGAAATTTAAAACGTAGTACAATAGAACAATTAATTGAGCACGAAGAAAAATTATTACATACAACTCGTTATTTTCCTCGAACAGATGATATTGATCAGTCTAATAGTAATACAAATATTAACATTAATAATAATAATAATAATAATTTGACTAATAATCATGAAAATATGAGTCAACGACAATCAATATTTATTACTCCTCAACATCTTACACGAATACCAAATACATCTATACTCGATTATCAACAAGTATTTATTGCATTATTTGAAAGAAAAAAAAAAAAAGAAAAGGGAAATTTCATTTTTTGATATTTTTAGTTTGTTACTCTATGGAATTGGTTACCTGCACGTCTTAGCCTTTCTCAACCTGTCCTTGTTTTTACAACACAAGAACATGGATTTCGTTTACAAACTTTATTAGAAAAAATCGATGATATTGAATATTCAATATTAGTTATCAAAACAACTAATGGCGAAGTAAATTTATTTTTTTTATCTATTTTTGAAATTTAGAAATATTACAAGAAAAGATCTTTTGTCTTGTAAAATACGTTTAATTATAATTTTTATTTTGTTTTCTATTCAAACAGATATTTGGTGCATTTTGTGCTGGTCTTTGGTCTGATCGTCATAATAAAACATATTTTGGATTTGGTGAATCATATTTATTTACTCTTGTACCAAAACAAATCAAATATCCTTGGGTTGGACAACAACAAGAGAATGATAATCGTCAATATAAAGTTAAACGAGAACTTTTCTTATTTGTTAATAATGAAAAATTAATCATTGGCGGAGGGTGAACATTAACAAATGAAAGAAAAGATAAAAAATAAAAATTTTTCTTTTATTTTAGTAATGGTGATGGTTTATCTATTGATGCATCATTATGTGAAGGTCGTACAGCTCATTGTGAAACATTTAATAATGAGCCACTTTGTTCATCACCATACTTTTCAATATCAGTTTTAGAAATGATTACATTTGATTTTTCATCCTCCTAGTCATTTTAAATGCAAAATCCATTAGTATATATACACATATATATATAAATGTGTGTGTGTGCGTGTGTGTGTGTGTTTATGTTTCTTTTACTTCCAATTTTCTAAGAAAAAAAACGTAAAAACCAAATTTAATCGTGTGAGAGAATGGAAGAATATTATTTATATGTACAGTAGTGAATAACAGTATGTTCCTTACCGGATTTTAGCTATTATAAGTGTTAGAGATCTGAGAATTTATGTACATATATTTTGTCAAGAATGTAGTCCAAAGACATGATCTTATCCCTATAAATCACGTATGAACTGAATTATGATTGATGACAACAAGTGGTTCACTTTTTTTTCTGGTGACATTTATAAATGTTAAAAAAAAATCCTGTGTGAACTAGCTGATTCCTCATAATACATTCCCCTAATTGAGCTATCCATGTGTCTGATTTCATTAAAGTTCATCAACTTTTTCTAGAATTGGGAACATTCTCTTGTAACTATTAATGTGACGAACAACCACCTGCTGCTCTCTGAAGACTAATTTATTAGTAATTCAATTAATTGACTGTAAATCTTAAGAAAAACTTTTCTTAAAGTTCAACATTATTACCTATGACTTTCAGCAATGAACTTTCTAGTCAATAAAAAAAAAAAAGATGCTTGTATCCTAAAAATACATAGTGATTTAGTAACAAACGATAATCAACTGAATATTCGAATTTCATGCAAATATAACAAGAATTAATCGTGCATTTAATTAAAATCTATGCTAAATAAAATAGAGAGCCTTGTCACATTGAAAAGCTCAAAGTATTAATAAATGACATCCATTCATACCTCTCTGTATACTTAATCAATCTAACCGAAATGTTACCTTTGGTCGACATTTATTGACATATAGTGTACATATACGAATTCTAAGATACCTAACAAATATGATCATTGAGATACGATAGGAAGTAAACTTTTGATTACTACTGTATATTTTTGTTTTGGTATTTTGTGTATTATCTTTATTTATTGTCTTTCGAATGGCTATTTTCTTTTTATTTTTTTTTTGTGTATAAGTGTTTTGTAGAGATTTTACTTTTGTGTGTTAATGCAATAAGATGAAAAAAAAAAAAATAAGAAAGATGAATATTATTTGTTCGTAGATGAATTTTAATTATTTAATTTTATTAATTTTTTTACATACGAAAATCTATGCACTTAAACCAATACATTTAACAATTGTTGTATGTGGTGATAGGTATAAAAATAAATGAAAAAAATAATGAGATTTTTATTTTCACATCTATTTTATTTATTTTTGTTAGACTTGAAGAAGCACTTAATGCATTAAAATCATCATTAATTTTTACACCATCACCAATTATTTTTCATGTTTTTACTGAAGATCATTTAAGAGAACAATTTACAGAAAAAGTAATATATAAATTTGACTTTTTTTTTTGTTTCTTTTATTTCAATTAATTTAATTCTGAATTTAAAGATTAATTCAGAATGGCCTATTGAATATAAATCAAAATTTCATATTGAATTTTATCAAATTCAATATACACGTGGAAATGATGAACGATGGAGAAAATTATTTAAACCATGCTGTACTCAACGTTTATTTATTCCAGTCCGTTAAACATATAAACTTACAAAGAAAATATTGGATTGTTTGATTTTTTTTTAGGATATACTAACAAATATTGATTCAGTAATTTATATTGATACAGATATTTTATTTTTAAGTAATGTCAGAAGTTTATGGCGTTTTTTTCGAAAATTTAATTCAACTCAATTAGCTGCGTTGACACCAGAGCATGAAGATCCATCTATGGGATGGTATAATCGATTTGCACATCATCCATACTATGGATCAATGGGTAGGTTACAAAAACAATTAATCATAAATATATAAGTAATATGGAATTTAAAAAAAAAAGGCTTTTTTAAAATTTTATTCATGATAAGAGAATTCGTTTTGGGATTTAGTAAAATATGAATTTCGATATGATTTTTTTCGTTATTAGCTAAAAAAAAACCAAGTGTGAATGTTAAATAAGAATATAAATCATAGGTTATAACGTGATCATTAAGAAAAACTATTCATAAATCTTTTTCTACGTATTTTTTATACCATGCTCCGATAATCTAATCTCATGATAAATCTGTATAGGAATATTTTCGCTTGATAGCTCAGGATAAATTGTCATTAGCAGACTTTCCAAAAACAAACCTTTTTATATTTCCATGAAAAGTTTTAGTAAAAAGCAAGTTTTAAAACTTCTATCATTGTTTCTGACAGACTTTTTTTTTATATGAAGAAACTTTCTGCTAAAAAAAATTTCATAAAAAGTTAATGATTTTATCATTTTTTTATTCTGTATGTTCTAGGTAATGGAATGAAAAGATTTTTTGTCGAGACTTGACATTTGAAAACAATTGAGAACTTTGATTTTTATAAAAAAAAAAAAAATTCATATAAATGAACATAACTCGACTAATAACTTGAAAATAATTCTCAACTGGTCGGTTATGAGAATAGTAAAAAATGGCAGTAACAAATAAGATATGTGAGAAACAAAAAATATCTTATATGTTCCATTTCGTATTCATTATATCATTGTGAGATACATTAATAAATGCAGTTAAATTATGAAAGCATTGAATGAAAAATTTCTATTAAATATAATTTAGCGTTATTGAATCAAACGAGAAAAAGAAAATATTAAAATTGTCTAAAGTATAATGCTTCATTCAGCAATCTGTTTATATCAAAAATAAACTACAGATTTTTGACAATAGCTAATGTTTTTCTTTTTTAACTATGCATTTATATTGAAAATAATAAATAGTCATGTAGCCTATTCTTTGTTAGTTAATTTTATACTAATATAAATTTACATTTAATTTACATAGGACTCAATTCGGGTGTAATGTTAATGAATTTAACACGTATGCGTCAAGTGAATATGGTTTCTAAAATAATGACTATTTTTGATGAATTTCATTTAAACATAACTTGGGGTGATCAATGTTTATTAAATATTTATTTTAGTTATTATCCAGGTAGATTTTCTTTCATGTAAATAAAACAATTGTAATCTCATATTTCTTGTTTTTTGAATGTGCTAGAACAAATATATGAATTTAGTTGTAATTGGAATTATCGACCTGATCATTGTATTTATGAAAATAATTGTCAAATGGCTAAATTAGATGGTATTAAAATTATTCATGGTTGTCGTAGTGCATTTCATAATGATAAATATCAAGAATTTAAATCTATTTATCAAGTTATTCATAATTGGAAATTTGATTCAAATTTAAAAAATTCATTACTAACAAAAATAATCAATAATTTAAAAAATTATTCATTAACTAATTGTGGTAAATCTCAAAAATTATTTATAAAACATTTATCAAAAGAAATATCATCATTTAATTATGCATTGAAAAATCAATTTCATATTGCATTAATATTTAATAATGATTGGAATTTTATTGAACAATCATATATTCTTCTTAAATCTCTTATATTATTTTCTTCAAATAAAACTTATCAAATACATTTACATGTTATTATAACAGACTACAATGCTCAAAATTATTTTTCGAAACAAGTAAAAATATTGACAATAAAATATATACTTAAATAAATTATATTTAGATTGAATCAATGCACTATTCAATTACGTATTACAATACAACGATAAAGCATCCGCTTCAACTATCGGTATGTTGAATTCTTTTCAAATTGTAAAGCGTGTTTCCTCTAATAATCTAGGAGAGAAATGTCGGAACTTGCTTTATATTAGAATGACGTTTTCAAAAAAAAGAATATGTCACTATGAAGTACTATTAATTTTGTCTATAATTAAACTCATACAAGAAAATGTCTTCTTCTTCCTTGACTTAATTCATTACAAACAGAATAGAAAGGCTAAAGTCTATACAACTATCTGTAGAAGAAAAAAAGATATTTATGAAACAATAATATTAAGATAATAATAATAATTTTCAAAAAAAAAAAAAAAAAATTTTAGACAATATTAAATGTTGATCGTGTCGTTTATTTAAATCCAAATATAATATTTATAAATTCTTTTGATAAATTATGGTCATCATTTGATCAATTTAAATCAAAACAAGCTATTGGCATGTTTGGTCAATGTCAAATTTCAGGTATTATTTTTAAATTATTTTTATTTGTATTAAAAGTTTAGTATAAATATCATTATTTCTTAAAGCATCTTCTTTTTAATAATCAGTAAGTAGTTCACATATATAATGATTATGTTGAATGTGGCTTTGTTCACTGTGTGATTGCTCTTGATAAAAATGATTTTAACTTATTATTTATGTCAATTTTATTATTGATTATATATAGGTACTTCAAATCTATTACTTATTCATTCGAATCAAATGAAAAATTTAAAAATTGATTTTGAAGGTGTTAATTATTTATCTACAGGTATTTAAAAAGGATTTTCAAATTTTAAAGATTTAAAATTTTGTATTTTAGACAATGTATATTTTTTACCATGCAAATATATTCTTGATTTTGATCATTGTCAATCGAAAGAAGATATTTTATTTCTTCCTGAAACAATAAACCATTCATTATATAGAATTTTATATAAAATTATTAGTCAAGTATGTTGATATTTTATCATTCAAAAATATTTATCTCGTTTTGCTTTTCTTGAATTTTTTTATTTAGTTCGATTTAACAAAATCAAATCATTGGAATGATTCTATTGAGAATGTATTTAATCAAATTGAAAATAAACAATATCGAAATGAATTAATTGAATTATTTGTAATAAATAAAAAAAACTAAATTATATAAATTTCAATGCTCTTTTCTTTTTTTGTTTTTTTCTTGTTGTTTTATCGCTTTGTTTTTTTCATTTCAATAAACCATTTTTTAGATGAATATTTTTTTCTATTAATCAAAAATGGCAATCGAAATAGAAAATTCTATATACATATCAATGTAAATTTCATCACATAAATACAATGATGAATTACTCATATCTAAAGGTAAATCTTTTATATATGAGACTTCCTATATGTATATACACATATAGACAAACATGCACTATACTTTGACAGCAAGAAAAAAAACATAGTTTTAATCGTGCAATGATATGTAGCATTGCTGTGTCACGTACACATCACTGTGCTATTAACAACAACATGGTATCGACAACAAGAAAGAAAAGGATGTAGGAACGAAAGAAAATCGAAAAGCAACGTAATCACTAACAGCGCGTACGTACGCAACTACGTGCGTATGTGTAAATCGAAGAATCCACTCGCTATATAACATACACATATCCTTGCGCAACTTGTAGGCTGTCCACGAACTCAGATTGTGTCTTTGTGTTTTTGTCAAAGAAGCAAGATAGAATGCAAAGAAGATGTGGCAGAAAAAGCGTCGACGAGAGAAAAAAACACAAAAAACACCCCGAGAGTTGATCATTCTGAGGGTGCGTGAAAGAGAAAAAAACGAGAGAAACTGAGAGGGAGAAAGACATTTATACGTTACCGCAGTCGTTTTTTCTCGCTTGTTTTTTTTTTTTTGCTTTTTTTTCTTTCGACTGGTTTCGTCATCAGGCGCCTGTACTCTATAAATAAGGGTATCTTTACTACTATGCTTTATTATTGAGCTTCATAGTCATTTTTTAAGTGTTTTCTAGATAAAATGATGGAATATTCCTTGTGGTTATTTACTTTCGTTCTTCCTTTTTTTTTTTTTCTACATCAACGTTTTTTATTAGTTGCGATAAACTTAGCGGTAAGAGATTTAGACAATAGAATCATCTATTTCATATGGGATTCTGGATACAGATTACTGTCACCTGACTGTTTGTCTACGTTTATTACTTGTTTTCTTCATAACTTACTACATGTGCAATTATGATAAGAATACCATTAGTAGCTTTTGCATCCTTGTGTAATGTTTGAAACTATTCTGATGGTTTTGTCATTTGCGAGACAAAAAGTAAAAAAATACTATTGACTGTGTAATATCTACTTTTTTCTCAATTTACACTTCTTTTTTTCTTTCATACACACACACATCATTGTACTGCATTCGTACTTTTATTATTATTTTAGTTGTAGTCTCGTAAACTGAAGAGATGAGTAATATGTTTTATATGGCCATCTATTTTTTTTTTTGAAAAGCTTTCTTTTGCATTCAGAAAAAAACAAAAATATTGAAAAAAAATAGTCATTTTTTCTAATATCGCTGTCAATCTAGCTTTCTTCTTCATCCGTTTCTTTCTCTTATTCATTGTCGCTCAAGTGAGTAGGAAGAGAATTGGGTTTTATGCACATAGTAACATCTGTTTTCTATACGAGAATGTATGTCAGATGAAACGATACAGACATATGTTGTTTTCATTGTACGAGTTTTTTTTTCATCGTACGCTATGTAGTGCGAAATTTGTGTATGTGTGCAGAATTGAGCATCATAGACGAAAAAAATATGACTGTTTTTCGGACAATAATAATAATAATAATAATAAAACATTTGCATAGATGAATCAAGATAGAAAGAAAAAAAGGAAAAATAAGTAACGTCAGCTGATGAATGTAATTGCTTGTTTTCACTTTCTTTTTCTTTTCATTCTATTAAAATCAACGTATCTGTTTTTTAAAAAATTTCTCTTCTCTTTTTTTGTAGTTATCAGCATGTTTTCAATTCATTTTTTTTTCTAAGTACTTTATAAGACACATTCTTCCTTCATCTTCAATTTTTGTATGCAGATGATAAAACTTTTCCCCACAAAAAAAAGATAAATGCACTTTGAATCATGGGCGTTTCATTGATAATAAACAGCTGAAAAATTCCTTTGCGTACGACATCACAGAAGCAATAGTAAGTGAAGAAAAAAAAAAACAGGCGAAAAATAACAAAAACAACGTCTCTGTTTGGTGTACTTCATCAAAAAACTGTTTTCATCATCAAATTCCATGCACATACCCACACTCATTTTTTTTTATCCTTTCGAATTGCAAAGAAAAAAGAATAATAATAATCATACTACATGTCTTGTATTTTGAGTAGGAAAATATTTATTTTTTATTTTTTTTTATTTATTTTAGACGTACACTAAATGGCGTGCGACGAGGTGTCACCACCAAAAAAACGTTGGCAACAACGAAGTTGTTCATCAACACCTTCACCATTATCAATAGCACAATTTACATTAGATGCAAGTCAATGGCGTCATCAGAGTGTACTTGTTCTTGATAATCAAAATCTAAATATATATCATATGGGTAATATTCTTGATATAATTGATTCTCGTCTTATTACAATATCACTTCGTGATCAAGAATCATCAACAATTAATGTTGATTTATCAAAACCAATTTGTAATCATTTACCATCAATTATAATTGATAATATCCCGGCATGTCAAGATCTTGTTATCAATACACAAGTATGCGTTCGACGAATAAAAACTAGTAAATTAAATCAATTTCAATGTGGTCGAATACGAGCTAAACATCCGACACGTTTAGAATTTTCAATTGATTTAAATACTACACATAACAATAATAATAATAATAATGGTGATGAAATTGATCAAGATGAAAATGATAAAGAAGATTTATGGTTCACAAGACAAAATATTCGTTTATTAATTGAACCATGGCATGAAGAGTTACGTCTTTATCGTGAAAATTTACCTATGTCAACTATGTTTCGACCAATATCAGTTGAATTATCAACAAATAATAATAATGATGAACAACAAAAGATAGCATTTCCAACACCACCAATTGAAAATAAAGATGAAGATGATGAAGAAGTCGAAAGAGAATTACAAAAACATGAACAAGCAGCTAATAAATTACAAGGAATAAAAAAAGGAGATATATTTACAATGAGGTAAAACAAAATATTATTTTTTTATTTTGTTTTTCTTTGATTATTTTCTTTCTATTTTTTAAGTAGTACGGGAATACGTAAAAAATTTAATGGAAAACAATGGCGTCGCTTATGTGGTATTGATCAATGTCAAAAAGAATCCCAACGACATGGTTTTTGTTCAAAACATTTATCACAAATGCGTGAACCAAATGCTTTTTCTCAACAAATGCAACGATTTGTTGGTTCAATGGGAAATTTTCATCATATTACTGCTTTTCCATTTCTTGCAGAAATTTATCAACATCGTTTCGATTATACTCCTATATTACCGCCACCTCCACCACCGCCACCATCAGTCATACCATCAATTTATCATTCGACGGTTCCAGTATTACCAACTACATTAAATACAATTTCTTCACTTCGATCTTATTCAACACCATCCCCATCATCGACAACATCGTTACTAGTCAATCCAAATCAATCACCTAGTGCTTTCGTACCACTTATACCGGTTGTTCGACAACATTCCGTCGATTTAACTCCACCACCATCATCTTCATCATCAACACCCGTTCTATCAATTAATACGAATTCATCTGTTCGTCGATCAACTGACGATGATGATTCAGATATTGATATTGAAACGCTACCATCACCTAGTAAGATTCAAAAAACAGAAATATATGAAATAAAAGAACTGTTTTTTTTTTTTTTCTTTTAGCCAGTAAACGACTTCGTTGCGATAATTATGAAAATGGCAAGTACAATTATAATACAAATAAATAATATTAATGTTGTGTCTTACAGCTGTTACTGTTATTAAAACATTTTTAAAAAAAAGTTTTTTTTTTTTTTTTTTGATAAAACAGAACAGTTGATCGTTTTATTTTTCGTTTTCTTTCCATGATTCTTTTCTCTTTCTGTTCATCCTTCGTCTGTTTTCGATACAATCAATTTTTTTTTTGTCTTCTTCCCTTTTGCTTGTGTCCTCTTCTTGTTTATTTGAAACTTGTGATGAGCTAGTCAAGTCGGATCAAATCACGGTGTGTATGTTTACCTGCTTAGTGGTTAGCAAAAAAGACGGAAACCTTGATGTGATCGAGGCCTATTTTGCACTTTCATTTGTGTCTTTTTTTTATTATTCAAATACTATTTTCTTTTCGTATTTGTTTCTTCAAGAGATGTGTCGAGTTTGTTTTCTTTCTGATAAAGTTGAACGTGCCACTGTTGATCTCACAAAATTACTATTATCTGATGTTATCATCTGGTTTGGTGAAACATCCTGTTCTCTTTTTTTTAATTTTGTTTATCCGGTTCTTCTTTTCTCTCTCTCTCTCTCTCTATTTATCTTTTTGATTTTATGCATAGTTTAGATATTACAAGTGTTATAAACACAAGATGTTTTCTTGTTTTTTTCTTTAGTTTATCCTATGAACTTCAGTTAAACAAACAGAGAAAAAGAGAGAGAGAGAGAGAGAGAGAAAGGAAGGAATATTTTGTAGTAGTATTGCATCATTGTAGCATGATTATTGCGATTTCAAGTGTTTTTTATAATGTAGGTTTAACAGCTATACGTTTTTTTTTAGAAAAAACGCATAAAAGATAATGAATTTATATATATTGAAAATTTTCTCATCGACAAACTTCATTTCAATGAATATTGAATTTACTGAAATTTTTTTATGTATCAAATCAATGATCGGGTAACGCTTGTTCTAGAAAACATTGCTTTAGATCATAAAAATATACTTTACAAAAATATATTTAAATAGACAATAAAATAATTTTTATTAAGTTATGATTTAAAACTTAGTGATAGATACATTGTTATTTTTCACTATATACTTTAAAATATGGCTATTTAATTAGGTGGGTTGGCTTGAATGACATGAAAATTGTATATATTTAAATAAGACTAATTAACTTTCTGTATAATTAATTTTTTGCTTTGCACGAATGTCATTACTAAAAAAAAACATTTAGTAAGATATATTTTCACAATATAAGGTAGTGCTAATGACTACCCTTTTCAATTCATAAAACTTGTTTATGGAAAACCTGAATGATAATTATGCATGTGGCTGATTAACGGAAACAATACTCTTTCAATAAATATAATGATAGAATATAATTAATTAATTAAATGTTTTGAAGAATTTGTTGTCATAAGCAACGAAACTACTGTATACATAACGCAATAAGCGTCATATATGTTAATACATAATTTTCTTCTCTTATCTTTAGATAATATATGTAACGTGATCTTACCTACTTGAATTGTGTAAATGATATTTGTTTTTCGTATCTTATTTTTTTCATATCAACTTTAAACAAAGACAAACATTGATAAAAAGACTTTGTTTAGTTTAAAAAACAAAACAAATTTTTTAGATTTTGTTTAAACTATAAGCTTATGAATATTTCTACTAAGTTGAATATTACTATTAAAATATAAACATATATAAATTAAAGTATTGAACTCTTGAAATATGTTTGTAATAGAACAAGAAACATAAAATGAACATTTAAAAAATTTTACAGTACAATAAAACCAGTATGAACATTGTAAATTCATTGAAGTCTATCTTTTATTTTTAATATGTCAAAGATACGTCGTCATATAAAATAACCTTTAAGAAAAATAAATAAATGACATATCGCTGATTCAGATAAAAGTTTTTTTTTTTTTTAATAAACGTGAATAATTTATCGGATTATGTTACTTTTTGTGGAACAGTATATTCTATGTATTGAACAATGTAAATTGATATTGAAAAAACGGTGTAAATAATCAAATGACTTAACATTCTTTGTTTCAGATGTCTAGTGAAAGTGTGATCGTTGGAGAACAGGTTTGTTTTTTTTTTTGGAAGATCTGTTTCATTTAACATGTATCTTCTAGATACCATTGTCATTGAATGAAAACGCTCGACATATAAACTGGACAGTAATTGTAGTCACAGCATCAGATCAAGAAAGTGCTTATGCATTTGATTTTAGTCTGTATACTTTCAATATGTATACATTTTGATAAATAAGTTTGTTTTGTTCTAGTTCTACGACAACGACAACGTTATGGATTAATAGATAAATCAACTATTATACTCACTGTGAATGATCCACAAGAAAAACTCGGCAGTGGTGGAGCAACATTGAATGCACTCTTAGTTGCTACAGAAATCTTGAGTGCTAAGGCTGGCTACTCTGTTAGTTAACAATTATTTTTGAAAAATATATGAAATATTTATTTTATTAGCTTATCAATACAAGTGTCTTACATTCCGCACATATATTAATTCTTCATACAGTAAATTTAAATTGTTTTTAGAAATAATATCACTTATATTTAATTATTTAAAGGGTCGTATATTTCCATATGATGCGTGTCATCGTTCATTAGCAACATTACCTGCTCGTTTTGGACCGAATCGTCCATGGCTTTTAACCAATTTAGATTTACTTATACATGATTTTAATAATCTTGTAAGACTTTTTAATTATCTATCACCCTAGAAAAAAATAAAATAAAACAAAATATCTAGATTGCTTCAAGCAAATTGCCTTATGGTGTTTGGATTAGTAGTACTGATGCATTTGTAACATTGCCGAAAAATGGTATATTTCAAATGATTGATATATTTATCTGTTATGACCTTTGTTTCGTACATTTCAAGGTATTGAAGTTCCATTTGATAGTGACATTCATGCATTAGCAACGTTAGAAGATGTTCAATATGCCGCCGGGCATGGTGTTTACATTATTAATAAAGAAAAAGTAATAGAACAAAAAAGTCTTCTTTCTACCTAGATTTTCTTCTGTTTTCTTATTTTCTAGAATATTGTTACAAATATTTTATATCGTGCCTCGATTGATGAATTAAATAAACATACAAACAATGATCACAAAGTGCCAACTGTAGGTAGAATTCGAAAAAGAAAACGAAATTATATTTGTCACCTTAAGCATAGTAAAAGAAAATTAAAAAATACTGGATGTGAGGAAAGTTTTGCAACATTTTTTGTTTTCCATTTAATTCTGAGATGCCCCATTGAATGTTCTACTTAGGTCATAAGATCAAATCTTTATATCTATATTCATTCGAAATTTGAATAGACATTCAACACTAAACACGTGTATTATTGTGTTGTTATTTTCTACAAGGAAAAATAAACGAAAGTCGGAAATTGTCGAATTTGGATTGTGATGGTTATTGTTTATTCATTTTGGCTATAACGTTTATAACCAATCAGAGACCATGGGTTGGCCTTCAAAACATGAGGATTATTACTCATCTTCATCTAAAATACATGCGAAGAAAATGATTGTGTCAGTTGATCTGGATGCCTCGTCCTGAAATAAAACGTTGTTTTTTCTTCTGTCACTCTCGAATATATAGTCTAAAATTAGTGAGCTCGATGCACAAATTGTTCGAAAAAAAAAACTTCTTCAACTGTTGAAAAAAATAGTAAAAAAGAATAAGACTTAACAAAATAATACAATTAGAATTTGGCTTTAAATGATAATGATGATGAAAAATACGTTGAAGAGAAATTAGTGCCGATCTCGTTGAAAGTATTGATGGAGTGATGAATGCTTTGGATTTTTACAGTACTTGAAGCAATCCATTTTATCTAATATTGATTTGATTAAAAAGAACCTTAGATATCAATCAGAGTTAGATACAAAAACAGAAAATATTGCAAAACTTTACTCACATTCGATATTCATAACAAATTAGTTTATTTATACGATAATAAAGTAAAATGAAACACAGAGAATATTTGTAAATAAATAATCACTGGAATAATGTCGATCAATAGTAACAGCAAACAATCAACACTTAAAAAAGTACCATAGAATTGTATGGATCTATTGTGTTTATAAAGACAAAGTATAAAACTCTTTACTCAAGATCGATTGAAGAAATCTATCGAAAACTTTACTACTAAGAGTAGTTTTTTTCTTAACCCTTTACCCCCGGATGGGTCGTTTTCGACCCATTCATAAAATCTATCTATTTGAGTTAATAAAACATGGGATCAAGACGATTCTTGAATATTGTGTAAAGCATTCAATAAGCTATAAATTGGTAAATAAACTAAACTTTTTTTACTGTTCCTTAGTTAAGATATCAGTGCTGCAAAATGATGATTTTCCAAAAAAGTGGAAAAAATCGAATTTTTCGAAACAAATTGTTCTCTACCAGCAGTGAATAGAGATCTTTCGGAATTTCTGTTGTATGTTTGTAGGTGATTGAGTCCACTACGAGGCTAGATTTGTTTCGAAAGCTTTCAGGATAGTTTAGTAGGGAAGATAAGGTAAAGTACACAATGATTCCTAAAGTGTTTCTAAAACATCGCCGTCTCTGCTTATCAACATCTACAAATCAATATAAAAATTTTGTTTCAACCACACAGAATTATAGAGAGAATAGTTTCCTACAAAATAAAATGTCGTCGAGGCTCTGCGACGCTTTTTGACTGAACTACATCAGTTTTCCTGAAAGCATTAGAAAATTCTTTCAAATTTTTTCCCGTACTCCCCCTCAGGAAACGGCCGTAAACCGAAAGATAGTATTTGATTGATCTGTTCATATTTTTGGCATATTGGAGGCATCAATACTCTATTCCAACGGTTCTTTCATCCCTAGCACTTCGGAAACTACTGTCGGGGGTAAAGGGTTAAATATAGAATGTTATAGTAGAAAAAAGGTTTTTTAACATCATTTTCTCAAATTAAAATATTTATTAAGAGTCATTTAATCGTCTTCATTAATATCATATATTATTTTTGTCATATTTAGATTTGTAGTATTGTTTTTTTCTCGGTTAGTTTTGCTGAAAAATTATTGAGTAAGATAATTTATAATTCAAAACATGCATTGAAAAAGTGCTTGTTTTTATTTAGATTTTCATGCTAGTCCACCGCTTGATAGTTGTACTTACGAAGGTATTGATAGTGGATCACAACCGAGTAAAGTAAAAAAAATTATAAAAAATAATTTTTGTTTGCTTTTGTATTAGAATGTTTTTATGTTTTTTTTTTCAGCTATCACTCTATTTTGATTTTCTACTTGCTACTTGTACTGATATTTCATTCGATGAATATTTATCATCACATTATCGAAATTATACAAATGATTTAATAAAACAATCAGAAATTTTTCTATGGAATCAATTAAATGGAAAAACAAAATTTACATGTGGTAAAATATCTTTTTTAATAAAAAATTTCTTATCTTTTTATACTGAATGACTTAGGTATTCTTCCGAATAGCTGCCATTTTCAATACATCGATACACAATGGCCTTATTTAAATAAATATAATATTCATTCTCAACGTGAAGATATTCAATGGTCATCAATTCAACATTCAATTATTGATAACAAACAAATACAAACACAAAATTTATCAATTATAAATAGTATTGTTTATAATGAATGTAATTTAGGTGAAAATATATCAATACATAATTCTATTGTTGGAAATCGTGTTACACTAGGAGATAATTGTTGTATTCTATCAGTTGATTTCTCTAAAGAAGTAAAAAAAAAACAAACTTTTGTTCTTTATCTATTTTATTTATATTTATTATTGAGGATTTTCATTTAACACTTCCATCTGATGTTATTATTCAACGTATTATATTATCATTACAAAGAACAAGTGACACATCAAATAATCAATTAGATGTTTATACAATGATTGGAATTCATGATGATGTGAATCGAGTATTTACGGATAAAAATTTTACTATATTAAATATGTCATGGAATCAATTTCAAAGACAAACTGGTATTGATATTTGGGATTTATGGCCAGATTTACAGGTAACGATAAAAGTTTTATATTTTTTATCGACTGTTTAATTATATAAGATGCAAAAAAAAGTTCAAAACTTCGAGCAGCAATTTTTTTTATACATGGTTAGATAGAGTTAGACAAGTTGAGTAAGAATATTTATTTTATTATTTCTTTTGATAGTCTAAACTTGATAGATGTAGACTCGATATGAAGATCTAAATCTATGAGACTGATTCTTAGTATTATTCAACTTTGCTATCATCATGAAATCAGCACCAACTAACTTTTCAAGCTATTGGTGATAGCTTTTTTATAAAGCTATTTAGTTTTTTGTATATCATGATATATCTAACTTATTATACACTATTGGAATCACCAGACATTCACTTCAGCAGTATAGTTTTGGTTTTCCAAAATATGTAATATTATAGAGCAAAACCTCATTCAACGCTTGCACAAGATCCCTAAAATGTGGAACACGACTAGTAATAGGAGGTTTTCTTCACTGAAACTCGGCATTTTTTTAAAATAAAAATGGCGAATTCGGATTCAGCACGAAAATCGTAGTCAAATAGAATGATTTCCTCTCATATCCGAAGACTTTGATTTTTTGACGATTTTTGATCCCAGGCAAAACTCAATCATTTTTATGAAAAAACTAAAATCAAGTGAACGTTTTCAAAATGTACTTTGGTCGATTCCGTTTTTCACACTGATTCCAAATCTACCATTTTTAACTTGATAATTAGCAATTTTTTGTGAAGAAAACCTTGCATTATTGGGAGTATTCTATGCTTTAGGGATTCTATGCAAAGGTTGAAAAACTTTTTTTCTCCAAAACCAGTAATAGTTTGAAAAATTAAAGCTATAACTTTGAAGTGCAATAGCTGCCAGTTCCAATGGTATATAAAAATTAGATATATCATGAGATAGAAAAAAACTAGACAACTTTGTGATAAACGTTACTGACAGGTTGAAATGTGATTTACCGTTTATTTTACGATGATAGCATACTCGAATAGGACCAAAAATTAGTCCCATAGATTCATTTTTTCAAGTTGAGTTTAAACAAATTAGTTTTATAATACGTATGAAATAGAAAACTTTTTAGGATTGAGAATATATATTAGTTTTCTAATATGAAAAACGTGCTTTTTGAAAAAAAAATGGACCATTCAGGACTAGCGAAAAAACTCGATTTTTTTCGTTAAAATACTTTCAAAAAGAAATAATAAAATACAGATTCTTATTCAACTCGTCGAGCTCTATCTAATAATGTATTTTAAAAAAAAGTGAAAAGGAAAGTTTTATTCGAATTTTATATTTTTTACGCCTTGTATATATATATATATATATATTTTAGAATGATCCCGAAAAAAGAACATTAGCAAATGCTCATTTTTATCCAGTATTACATTTTAATAATATTTCATCATTAAATGATGATTTACTTTGGCTTTTTAATCCATCCAATGAATTACGACAACAATGGAAATCATCATGGCGTTTATCACTTAATGATATATTAATTCGAGCTGATCTCTATAAAGAAATAATTCGTCGTCAAGATTTATTTCATAGAATATCTCGACTAAAAATTCTTGATTTATTATTTCTTCATGGAAGCAAACAAAAAGTTGATGATTCATATTTAGCATTATTAAAACAAACTATTGCTGATGGACATAGTAAAGAAATACTTGATGCATTTGATCGTGCATGTTTAACTAATTATAATAAATTACAAACATTATCTTGCCTTTTTTCAGCTATTGCTAATACATTAGCTGAATTAGCTGGTGGAGATCGTGCTGGTGTTCGTTCTGGACCGTATCTTAATCGTGAATGGCAATATGCATTATCAATGTTCGAAGAAGGAAAATATCTTTTAAGTATTCAACATTTAATTAAACAAAGACAATTATGGATGGATAGATCTGATCTTTTAATACGAGCTGCTCGTCATTATGATGGTAAACTAGGTTTATTTTAAATTTATCATATTGAGAAGTATGTTTCAGAAGAAATGTTAAAGTATAAATTAAACAATGTCGTTTTCAGCTACGAGGTGCTGCCCCCTCTGAAGGTCAGGCTGATCCTCTCGAGTTTTTGATTATCATATCACGTGATATTAGTTTGTACTTCCACATATAAATATTCGCCCTCCCGAAATTCTAAATCGCCCTTTCGGAAGATAAAATCTAGATAGAACACTGAAATTAAAAAAAAATTTCTTATCTCTTCTCTCCCCATGAATCATCATAGAGACGGACATGAAATCAACATCTACTGCAAAATTGTTATTACAAAACATAATAATAGCTGAGTGTTGAGTTTTGTTATACAAAAAAAAAAAGATCTTTTGTTTTCTAGCATATGACTAAGCTCTTAAAGTATCTGTTTCGTACTAATTAAAATATGGATTTTTTTGGCTACTTTTGACATACACTAATAGATTCCACTGAAAACATTTTTATCATCAAAAACATAAATTATTGTTAAATCGTATTATTTTTCACATTTTTATCTCGCAGATGTTATTGTGCGACTTCTTCAAATGTAACAACGCAGCTTATTACATTTCATTTATGCTATGAGGATTACCCTTCTGTTTTGGCTGCAGTCTCAACCTTCTAGAAAAGTTTTATCATCGTGTAATGTTGTTACATGAAAAGATCCTTTTTCTCTAGTGCCACTAATAAAACTCAAATTTCTTTCAAACGGTATTTCTCCAAATAGCGGGTTTTTAAGCGGTAAAAAAAGATTTTCTCAAAAACTATTTTTGCTCTGATTAAAAATGCAAAAAAAACACACGTAAAGCTATTACGTAGTTCTTTGTCGATCAATTTAGAAGCACTTAACGTGTTCAGAAATATTTAATTGTCATAAATATTGATCTTTTCTGGATATCTAGTTGTTCTGCATAAGAACCAAGTTGTTACATCAAAATGAGAGCTCATTACACCTACAGTAAGTTGGAGACTGTATAGAAATAAACAAATTGTCTTTAGTGACGAAAATCAAAAATAAATAGGCGATTTTGTAGAGAATAAAATATTGCATCTGATGATATACAACTCAACATTTTTTGGAAAAACTTCTTGATTAAGAAATACAATTTTCGAAAAGTTTAAAGTGTGGTTTTCGATACAAAAACACAATTTTTTAAAAGAACGAATGTCAATTTCGTAATTAGTGCAACAAACGGTACCTAAGTATCCATTCAGATCTGTCTCATCCAAAAAAGAATTTCAAAAACGTGATCATCGAAGTGTCGTATTACGTAGATAATCTGTCTGATAGTTGTTAAAAACAATTTTAGGTGCCACACAAACATTGATTAAACAAGGTGTGTTAACTTGTCGATCGAAATGTTCTATTGATAATACTAATAAATCAATTTTATCACAGCCAAAACATCGACAAGTTACAGTAGAATGTCCTGTTCGTCTTGATTTATCTGGTGGATGGACTGATACACCTCCAATTTGTTATGAACATGGTGGTAGTGTATTAAATGTTGCTATTACAATAAATGAACAACGACCTATAGGTGCTCGTGCACGTCTCGTTGAATCAACATCAGTGTCATTTGTTACATTTATTGTCAAAGGTGAACATGAAAAAGATGATAAGACGTATGAATTACATCAATTAATACAATTTACAGATTATAATCAACCACAACGTCCGTGTGCATTATTAAAAACATGTTGTATTTTTACGGGTATTATTGATATAAATGCAACACAAGAAATGACATTAAATGAACAATTGAAAAAGAATTTATTTGGTTATAGTTTAATACTTGAAGCATGGTCAAATGTACCTGTTGGTTCAGGTCTTGGAACAAGTTCAATATTAGCTGGAGCAATTTTACTTGCATTATGGCATCTTATTGGTATTGAAAATATTACAGATAGTATGATTATTCGTAAGTTGGCTCTGGATATTTTTTTTAAAAGTTTCTACAATGAAAGAAAAATAAATATTTAGATGGTGTTTTGGTTGTTGAACAAATGATGACAACAGGTGGTGGTTGGCAAGATCAAATTGGAGGTTTATTACCAGCATTTAAATTAGGAACATCTAATGCTCAATTACCACTTGAAGTTAATTGGCGTCAACTTAATGTTAAAGATACTAATAATAATAATACTAAATTTTGGGATGATTTCGATGAACGATTAATACTAGTTTATACAGGTCAAACACGTTTAGCACGAAATCTTTTACAATCAGTTTTACGTAATTGGTATTCAGGTATAATAAGTCAATTATTTGATGAACTTGAAGAAAATGCTATACAAGCAGCTGAAGCTGTTGAACAAGGTTTGTATATTTTTCTTTCTATTAAAAGAATACTTTCATAAAATAGAATTATTTAGGAAATTTATTAAAGTTGGGTGAATGCATGTCAATGTATTGGTCACAAAAATTACGTGTTGCACCAGGTTCTGAACCAGAAACATGTCGTCGATTAATTGATCTTCTAACGCCATATATATATGGTAAATAGAATCTTAGTTTTTTTCTATTGCAATCTTCTTTATTTTTTATGTTCTAGGTGTTACATTGGCTGGTGCTGGTGGTGGTGGATTTCTTGCTGCTCTTGCTAAAACATCAGATGATGCTCGAAAATGTCGAGAATTAATAAATCAAGAAAACATTCCCAATGTATCTCTTTTTTCGGCTCAAATTGATCGACATGGGCCAGTTATTTCATTTTCGTGATGTGATAATTGTATAATTTATTCTACTTCACATTATTGTTTTATTCTTAGGAAACACTTGAAACTTAAAGATTACTCTTCTTATTTAATCTAAATTTTCTTTGTTAATCATTTGAAAAAAAAATTCGTTTATTGTACTTCATATTAATTGACAAATATTTCGTAGCTTTTAATAAAAGATCTTTGTCGTCGATATTACTTAGATGTTTACTAAAACTGCTACTTTCTGTCATAGACTAAACCGTTAAACTTTTTGATGAAATTATTTTTAGTTTGTTTGCTAACGGGAGAACTATCCGAATTGATACTCACCATTTGATTTTATATTAGACCTACAAGGACATCTTAATGAGACTAGCAAAGGTCTGAAATGAATTATTCTCATAAGCTTTTGGAGCCGATTTAAGATCGTTTTATTAAAATTTCGAGCCAGCTTTAGTTATACGTATATACCAAAAAAACAAAAAGAAGGATTTCGATGTCAAATTTTGTCCAAGATAAGTCTAATAACTTATAGAATATCTTGAAAGTTTCAGCTGAAGAGAACGTTCTTTTGTCAAGATATTGAATTGTCAACTATACTCGGTTTATATGTCATGCCTGTGGCAAATGTCTATTTTATGGAAACTCGATATCCGAACGAAAGAATACTCTTTTCCGCTGTAACTTGTAGAATATTCTATAAACAAAATTTTTCGTTGAATTTCAATTTTTTTATTCTTCTCTTTACATTTAAAGCTAAGTCAAAAGTTCATTAAAATGATTCTAACTCGACTTGAAACGGCTTACAAAGACGAACCTTTTTAGATTTTTGCTAGTCTCATCAAGGTGTCGTTGTTGGTTTGATATAAGCTCAAACGGCAGATATCAGTTTCGATGGTTTCCTTCTAAGTGTGATTTCTATTCCTTTATTTGTTTGATTATTGATCAAGTATTGCTATTGAACTTTTTTTTTCAATATTGTTTGAAAAACTACATTGATTGCATGGTGAAAAATTTTAAAAAATTTTGAATCTAAAGTTCATTATGATTTTTCTGATGACAACAACATAGTCAACTATAATTATCATACATAGTTGAGTTTTGATTGTAATAAACTTTTCATTGCAAGAGAAATATTATATAATGATTTGACGTTTCGAAAAAAAGTTTCTTTACCATTTTATCTACTATATTCCATAGAAGAAACTATGAGATTTATTTCGTTCTTTGTGTATTAGTTTACTGTAACTTAGTATATTAGATTCTACCGTCTTTTTTTTTGATGGCCAACCAAATTTGTCAAATAACGTTTAATGTTAACATTCAGCATCAATCAATTCAATTTGTTTCAAATTGTCAAAATATACATCATTTTATTGGAATTGCTTATACATTAAAACAACATTTCCAAAAAAAAAAGACAACAACCACTATATAAAACTACTCTTCATTTAAGATAGTATAATTTTCTCTGAATTTTTGTTTTTTTATGCTAAAACACATATACATAACAACTAACAATAGAGCAGATTATTTAAAACCTAGCTGATTTATAATAGATTCTTCATTGATATTCAGAAATATAATTAGAGATAACAATCTATATTTATTTTTCGGCTTTAGACTCCTCAAAGATAGATTACATCCGTGAAGTCACCATTAGTACTATCGAATTTTTCTCATAACTCAATGTATTGAAATAGTTTTAGAAAACATCTAATATATTCAATAATCTTCACAAATACGAACAGTATATTCTACGATGATAATTTCTATTTAAACGATCTTATCTTTTTAAGTAGCATATCACTAGACGATACACATGATCATGATGTCCTGAATCCATAGTTTTACAACTAGGACAAGAGAACATTAAGAGTAATTGGATACTCGAATATATAATTACTCACAAGATATATATATACTAAAAGGCATAATATTCATCACAGTCAAAACTGATCATTTTGTATCTTAAGAGTCAATGTACTATCAATTAATCAATTTTTAAGGTTGCCGAGATAAATTTAAAAAAAAAAACAAGAAAAACAAAAACAAAACATTTGATGTACACGACAACATCGTCGTGACAATTTGAAATCTTTTCATTATCTTATTTTGCTTTTTTTAGAGAAATGAAAGCTGCACAATTGTGAATACAAATCTAACAAATTCGAATTAATCGAACAAAACGAAAGAAATCAAGAAAAAGAAAAAAGAAAAAGAGGAAAAAAAAAGGAACAGAAACAACAACGACGATTAGGAAAAAAATGACACATTTACGAACACACATGCACACGCATACACGCTGATTTTCTTTTTCAGCTGAATGAAAGAAGTCATTTTGTACAAAGTTTATGACAATAAGAGAGACAAATCAAAAACAAAAATAGATAGAATTGAGAGAGCACCGGGCTTATTATGTATATGTAAGAGTTGTATAGACGACAGAGAAAGATTCAGGTAGATCTTTGTGTGTGTATAGCAATTGCATCTTATTGCTAGAGGCGACATGCATACAGAGATAGATGTGAGATCCGACACAGGCCAAATAAAGACAAAAAATAATATTAGTGAAGTAATTTATTATCTGAAAGGAGGAGCAGGTGAAGATGATGATGATGACGAATTAACATTTGATGTTGTTGAATTTGAAGGTACAATTGATGTCATTGGAAAATTTGATGACATTTGTCTTGTCAATTGTTGCTGTTGTTGTTGTTGTTGTTGTTGCTGTGGTAACGAAGTCGGATAGGATGGTGCAGATGACTGCCGATAGTATGATGGAGGATAAATATTTCCTGTTCCAGTTGTTGTATTTGAAGGTGAATGAATAACATGTGATGAAAGTGGATCATAAGATGATGATGATCCATAATTAGATGATGAAGGAAGGCTATTTTGTGTTGGATTCATTGATGGTATTGTGGAAGACGATGATGCACATGTGCCTGTCATTATCATTGAAGATGGATTTTGTTGCGGGGTTGATGATACATTCACTGAAGAATTTGTTGATGATGCATAATTATAATGTTGAGGCATTTGATATTGCTAAAATATAATATCGAATATGAATATATTTTACAACAAATATTAATTATTATGTTGATCTTACTTGATTATGTGATGGATATGAATAAGAAGGATAAGAAGAATAAGGTGGCATCATTGATGGATATCGATTAGGATAATAACGATTCGGTTGTTCAAAATGTGTTGGTCGAGTCGAATAATTATACATTTGTTGTTGTTGCATTCTATATGCATCAGAATACTGTTGAGTTGTATTTGGTAAATATGGTGTTTGTCTTAATGTTAAGGAATCTGATCTAGTAATCATTTGTTGTTGATATCTCTTATTATATTCAATTGTTTTTTGTATTGATAAATTATTATTATTATTATTATTATTATCTGACACAGAAAATGCTGTATTTATTGTATTTAAAAATGTAATTAAACCATCAATTGTTAAATAATCTTGAGGATTTGGACATACTGGTAAAATAAATGAATCAAATGTTGTTAAATCAAGATCTTTAATATAGGATGAAAAATTTAATTCGGAAAATGATATTAATGGAATAGACGAAGAAGATGATGATGATGTTGAAGGAAGTATTGTTGGTGATTGTGATAATATATTTGTTGATGGAGATGTTGAAGTTATTAAATTTGATATAGGATTATTATTATTATTAAGATTAGCTGTATTTATTGTTGTCGAAGGTGATGCTGTTGAAGGTGATGATGTTGATAAAACAGATGGAGATGAGGATGAAGATGGATGAACAAGAAAATCTTGTTGATCATTGGATGTTAGTGGACACTGTTGCTGTGATAAAGATGAAGATGATGGAGAAGAAAGTATATCGAGTGGTTTTTGTTGTTGGGATGTTTGACCATTCACACTGACATTAATCACTGTACTTAATGTAAAATGATGTGTTGGTGTATGAGCTTTTTGACCACTACCATTACCACCACCACCACCACATTCAATATCAATTTTTTGAGTTAATTCAGCTTGAAATGGATAACAAGTCTAGAAATAATAATTAACATATATAATATAGTGAGTTAAATTATTTGATTTAGTAATATTAAATTAATTTTATTAAAAAGTTTTAGATATTAACTAATAAAAGAATGATGCTTTTGAAAGGTATTACTTAACCGTAATTCTAACTTTAGCAAGAATACGAGAATCTGCTGTTATTTTTTTAAGATAACACAGAATCATTAATATTATTATTTAATCTGCTTTTGTTTATTTTCAAAATCTTTTACAAAAATAAAAATACACAATTTATAAAAATTTCTACAATATTCTCAATGCAGAAAAAAAAAAGATAACCTTTGTATTTTTTAAGGTCTTTCTTTTATAATGAAAATATTTTTCGAACAAGTAAATTAAACTCAAAAATCTATATTTATTTTTGTTAAAATATAAAAGAATAAAATTAGAATATTTCTATATCTTTCTTCTCTTTTCATTATTGATTATCAATCAAGATAACGAAGTATAAACGAAATAAAAGAGTTTCTAACAATATCTACAGATGAAGAAAAAAAACCGAAAAGAACTACTAATGTATATTTACATCATTTATGAACAAATGCAAGTTACATACATAAATTTTTGTTTATTAAAAAAAAATAAAACTTACTTGTGGTTGTTGTGATTGAGTATGATCATCACTTGTATTAAGTGATGATGTTGATGATGTTGAACCAATTCCATTTGTATTCGTTTTTTGTTTTTTCCTTACATGTCCACTATTATTACAATTTGTTGATGACGGTGATAAACTTGGTGAATTAGCCATTGCAGATGGAACAATTCCAGTTGTTGTTTTGTTCTGTTTTTGTTTACTATCTTCCAATGAACGTTTTTCTTCGAAATGTTGATAATAATGTCGTCGATGAGTATGTGCCATTAATGGATGATTATGAAGATGTGGATGATTATGTACCATATTAGTAGTATTATTTGTATTAGTATTATTTGCTGATATT